AACTAACGTTTTGCATGGCTTGACGTTATATGAACAACATTCCCCCAATTACTTTTAAGGCAACTACATTAAAAGTAGGCATTGTATGTGCTAGTTTTAATGCATCGTGAGGCGCCGTGTATAATGTGTATGATCTGCTCCACTAAAACCGAACTTTTCGACTCCCGATTTCTAAAGAAAAAAAAAGGAAAAAAATCTTTAATGAATCAGGATAGATAGCTCGATCTCTCAGTCTATCTATCCGGTTCACCTTTGACTGAGCTTTCAAAGCGTCGTGTGTTGGGATAGAAAGTTAAGGCTTTTTTTTAAAAAAAAACCTTAGGCGAATTCCAAAATAGACGTGAAAGCTTCGAGGAATCCATCCTACGCTGTTTTTTACGCGCACTCCCTTCAGGCTTCCGAGTCCTGCCGAGTCGGGGATTTTGATTTCTGTGTTTACAACTACATAAAGCCAGGTGGTCATAAATCTTATTTCAGGGCTTCAGCGACAGCTATATTGGTATGCATGGTTAGGACGAGTGAATGCCTTAAACCATTAACAACTCTTGTAGGAGCTTTTGTTTTTTTTCAGTTCCATTTAACACCAGACCATTCCAGCAAAGTTAAATATTTGTTCGTGGACGGGGTGTATTTTTTTTGGTGGTGGTGGTGGTGGTGGGGGTGGTTTTGTAAGATTGCCCATCTCAGGGCTTGAATGCACGCCTGCCTCTGACTGTAACAAGCAAAAACACACACTCTGATATAATGCCTATATTTTTGATATACTATCGAGTGATTTATCCGGGCCGTTTGTTTCTGACGGAATTTAAAACGGCAAATAGATGCATCTGATTTCATAAATTTTTGGGGGGTGAAGTGGGAGCTATCGATTTGACAGAAAGCATTCGGGCCCATTATGCCACATTAATCGATGCAAATCATTTCTCCATTCTGATTACATCTTCCTTTATGACGCTTGGTTACGTCCTCGGAACACAGTCCTCACCCCCCACCCCCCCACACCCCCCCCTCCCCCACCACAAACGACTAGTAAACGATAATAATCTCCTTTGGAAATATCCCCCCTTGGAAGAAGCTTACAAAGTATCTGTCGTCAATTTTAGTGTGTTTTTAATTTTTTTTTGCTAGCAGACATCAGTAACTTTTGTCTGCGTCTCTCCTTCTCCCCCTCTTTCTCTCTCTCTCTCTCTCTCTCTCGCGTTCTTCGCATCGCCACTGAATCGAAGGTAAGGACTCGACACTACAGACCAACAGCAGACTTTTGTCCGAATGATTTATAGCTCAGATCTCGGTTCAAACAAAGTTCACGCGCTGCTTTTGGCTAAAGAATGGGTTTTTTTTTCTGCAAACCTCCTGACAATCTTTGCCCGTTGTTTCTGGACTATTTCCTATTTTGAAAACCCGCTTTGAGCTTAAAATCTCTCCTCTCTCCCCTCTCAGGGAAAGAAAATCGTTTTTTAAAGCGTTGAGTGGCCACGTTTATTTTTCCTTTTAAAATCCACACTTGAGTTGATTTGCTTATTTTGTGGAAAACTTTCAAATACTGTATTCTGTGCTATAACTGGGGTTTTTTTTTGGAGGGGGGAGGGGGGGGCTCCACTCGATATTTTTTATTATATTTGAAAAAATAGGCGAAGAAACTTGAGTTATGTGATGCGCAGCGATGCTATCAGTTAACTGGCATTGAATGACTCTCTCTATGATATAGGGTTTAAACATTCTGGAATGCATAACACATCTTTGTATGCGTCTCGTCACCCAATAAGTTATTTATATATTATTTAATATAATATATGTTATCTCAATGCTAATTTACTTTTTGCAGAACTCGTTACAAGTCGCTAGCGCCTATTAAATAAATCTGCAATGGGGAGAGAGAGAGAGAGAGGTTGACTCACTCTGATAGCCAAAATGGTAGCGTTTGTGTATGTGTGTGTGTGTGATGTGTTCTGACTGCTCAATGGTCCCAAACCAGAGAGAGCAATAAAGCACGGAAATGCTTGAATCTCTTTAACACCGAAGTTTAGGGTGAGAGGAGAAGGGGGGAGATGAGAGAAAGAGGAGAGGGAGGTGGGTTGGGGTGGGGGGGGGGGGAGATAAAAGTTTCTACGATTTATGCAGAGTAAGTTGTGCATTTGATACGAGTTGTATGACAGACGCTCAACGCCACCGAATGATAGAAAATGCATTTACGAAAAAAAGGCAGATTGATTCTCCCCCCCCCCTCCCCCACCTCTCCCAAATCTGAATTTACTATTATAACGCACGCATTTCCATGTGTTAAGTGATGTGCAAAGCGTATTATTGGGCGCAAGGCTGATTGGTGTCCAGGCTGTACATTGGCAGAGTGAATGTTCTGGTCTTAATATAGATATTGTTAATAAGGGAATCAATTCCACAAATAAGGGGAATTATTGAACAAGCCTGGAGGCCAAGGCGTCTTGCTACGAGTTGTTAAGTGTCAGATTTTAGCACAATGGTAAAATGGTGGGGGGGTTGGGGGGGTAGATAGATTTTAAACGCGATTTTCTGTGTATCGATAGGCCTGGTGGTTTGCTTGAAACTAAGCAAAGAGCGGCACGTTTTGTCCTTTATCGATACTTATCGATAGAAAGGTTATTTATACTGCAAATGTCGACGTTGTAAATAGTTGAGCAAGGATTCAGGAGGCGAGCAATAGAGAGGTCTGATTTGACACGCTGCTATCTTCGAGTGTCACATTGCCCAGTCACTATTATACAATCGTACAATCGAATATTAAACACAAATGAAATCGGATCCTAAACCCTTCTAATATCTATATTTATATTAAAACATTGAGGCCACACGGAAGCTGTCAAGGATACGTTATTTACAACCGCCCGAAACATTTGATATGGGCTTAATTGTGAGCATAAATCAGTGAGTTTAACAGGGTATTATTTGTTGCAAAGACTTTCAGACAACCAGTTGAAATAGAAATAGATTTCAACTTAAATCAAAACGATTTAAACCGATATGATACACACACGAGAGGCGCGTTTGTGTGTGTAGAGGGTGTGTGAGTGGGTGAGGGAGGGGGTCATTGACGAGAGACTATTGTTTCCGTTATTAATAAACATTCTATGTAATCGATATTATTACNAAAAAGCGGTTTAATTGCAATCTTGTAGGGAGGGAAGTAGAGAAAGGCAGAAATTATATCATCAACTCAATAATTTTTTAAAATGAAAAAAAATCGGTATCTTGGTTTCAAATGGTAACTCTGGCTCCAATTGCAAATGTTAGCAATAAATCTCGAATACTATAAATGTCTGTACATGTCTGTCCTAAGGTGCTGAACTCAAATTGATTAAATATCTTGCGTTAAGAGTAGACGGGCGGTGGCTAACTCGATGCATGTTTTATATCATATATATATACATATATATATATTCCAATAGTAACAAGTGGATCAAGACTTCCTGAGAGAAGCTAATGGAAACTACACAACGCCCTTCAAGCAAATGGAAAAACAATGCACTTTTTAAAAAAATTAAGCAAGACTCTGGCAATGCCCGTGTGCTTTCGTCGGCACAGACGGTCACTTTAAGACGCCTTTCCTTTCGATTCTTTCCCGTAGGAATGTCGCTTTCTTTGTTGCACCCACCCCCACCCCACCGGAGCCAAACATCCATCCGTCCACACCCTTTGTAAATAATCCGCTCACAAATTCGCAAACCTACGGGGTTTTTTTTTGTTCCCCCCGAAAGAAAAACAAAATTCGGTTACTTCACCTTGCGGCACGAATGCAGAGGCGGGTGCGTTAAAGGGTCGATGTTTGCGAGAATAGGGTTTGATTTTTCTCCTTTCTTTAATATAAAAAAAAGATGTAATTTCATATCGCCAGGCCATCCTTTTGTTTAGGCAAGGCAGTCTGTGTATGATAATAACGCTGCATTACAATTTCCACCTCATCCGCCTCGACTAATCGTTCGATTGCAAAACGCAATTCTATAACCCTATCCTATAACGCTTTCTGCGGCACATTTCGGAGTGAAAAAGGTGGTAAAGGAGAAGGGTTGGGATGTTAAAATAATACCTTTATTCGGTGCTTTGTTCACGGGCGAGTTTTTCTGCCGTCTTTACACGTTTTTAAGCCTAACATTTCGTTTCAGTGTTTTCCCCTTTTTCTAACGTGAACGCTCTTTGAAACTTCTCTGTCCCGACATCAGACACACACACATATTGCTATTTGTCTGTCTTTTAATCGGCATATCGGTAGGATTAAGACCGACCACAAGAACACCATGCCTCCCCCCCACCCCCCCCATACACACACACACACCACTCTTGATTTCGTCCGGACAATAGTTTTATATAAAATTGCGCAAAAACTTGCCCACCTCACGGTTTAACTGGAACGCGGACACGTTCAGCAATTGAGTCGGGGCAAAATAAAAAAAAGATAAATAAGAGTTTTGTTTGAACAAAAAAATAATAATCGCAAACCTACCAGAGGGTGAACTTTTATTAGCTTTTATGTTTTCAAAGAAATTCTTCCATCCTTTTGTGGCCCCCCTCAAAATGTAGCACTGCACAAGAACAGTTCCCAATGTGAGATTCTAACGCCTACACTACAGGTGCAAAGACTGGGGAAATGGTGGGCAGTGACTTAACACCAGGTCCCCCCCACCCCCCAACTCTGGTGCAATTAATATCTTTCCCTTTGCATTTTCTCTCTCTGATTATTACCGGCAGGTTTGGGACCATCGAGCACACCTTGGCTGCAAGCGACCGGGTTTTCCCGTGGGCGGACACGCACTGCACCATGTTTCGCCATCTTTCTATCACTTGCGTGGACTAACCCCAAAAGGTCTACTCGGCGGAGCCATTGGAGGACGCTCTGCCACGTGAACAACTGGACTCAGCCATTATTCAACCAGATTGTCAAGACATCCCTCCCACCACCCGCCCACCACCACCCCCAACCCCCCACCCCCACTCCCCACCCCACACACAACACACAACACAAACCACCACCCACCAACCCTCCCGACAGAAGAGGGAAGGGAGAAAATAAAGGATTGAGATGCAAAAGGCTCTTTACTACGAGACCCAAGGGCTGTTCGGCGGCGCGTGTTCATTTCAGGACTCTGATGGGATTAGATACATGTCCCAGGCACCATGTCATCCCACCCCACCACACACAACCCACCGGCCGGCTTGCTCCCTTCAACCAGATACCATCACGGGCACAGACTCCACTCCTCCCCCAGGCCGCAAAGCGGCCGAGATCAGTACCAATCTGATGCGAAAGAGCGGTTGTCAGCTCCCGGATCTATCGGCGGGCATCCAGCCGACTCCTCACACATTATCTTCTCGCCAAAGCGACTCCTGTTCACCGCGGAGCAGCAGCCCCGTAAACACTTTGCCTCTCGGCTCCATGCCCGGGGGCTCTAGCCCTGTCGGCAACTCCAACAAAACCACAGCCCCTCCCAAGCAAATATTCCCTTGGATGAGAGAAACCCGCCAAAACTGCAAGCAAAAACCTAACACACTCGCTTCAGGTACTTGGGGAGTACTTACAGTTGAGCAAATCCCGCACTGGAACTCTCACAAAACTCTCTCTCTCTTCCCCCCCCTCCTCCCCTCACTCATTCACCAAATGACTCCCAGTGTATTTTTTTTATGGCGGATTTCCATTTGGAACTCAAAGCTGCCAAGTTGCTTAATTACATCAAATATTCGTTCAAAAACTCCCCCCTCTTTTATATGGCCATTAATGAGATTTAGACCAAAGGCGCCTCCCGCGTAATTCATTCGTGAACTTTGTATTTGTGCCATTCACTTCGAGGCCACTTTTCGCTCTTGAGGGTCATTGTCCTATCTCCTTTGGCCCATTTCCTCCTGACGGGAGGCAAATGTGAATTAATTGGGGGGGCAAAGAAACACGGTTTTTAAATAGACCCACAGCTAAGTTCGCTGCCATTATAATAATATTAATTATTATTTAGTGCCTCAACACGTCTTTGGTACTTCTCAAAGCGCTTCACAGAGTATACCTAAAGTGCATTGAGTGATATTTTGTGAGCTAAAGTGTAACAAAAACGACATACTTCTAATACAACAATATTCATAAGAGAAAGGGATATAATAGACATATTGTGGGGTCATTAAAGTCATTTTACAATACTGTACTATATTCTGAATCATGGCAGAGTGACCTGTTTATTCTGTAATAAACTAAAGTGTTCGATCGTTTTGTCTTTTAAGGTGAAAGCGACCCTCAACCCAGTCCTCCGGGACAGCCTTCCAAAAGGGCCCGCACCGCCTACACTAGCGCGCAACTAGTAGAGCTGGAGAAAGAGTTTCATTTCAACCGCTACCTCTGCCGCCCGCGCCGGATCGAGATGGCCAACCTGCTCAGCCTGTCCGAGAGGCAGATCAAAATCTGGTTCCAGAACCGGCGTATGAAATACAAGAAGGATAATAAGGTGAAAGGGGGAGGGAGTCCCGCCAGCGGACATTCCCCGAGCCGGAGCCCGCCATTGAACCCGAATGCCTTCCCCAACCAGGTGCCACTGTCAAACGATCTGGGTTATGAGGCGCCAGTATCTACGGCTTACAACAAATCCCACGGTAACATGTATGGACTTGCTGCCTACACGGCGCCTTTGTACAACTGCCCGCCTACTCAGAAGCGTTATGGGGTCGCGCCAGTGTCTTCAGACTATGACCAAGTCTCCTTACAAGGCGATGGAGGCTTTGGGAACCCTAACGTGCAAGGCAGCCCAGGTTACGTAGGAGGGAATTTTGTGGACTCCATGCCAAACCATGGCCCGGTCTTCAGCCTTCCACACCCATCCTCTGCCACCATGGACTATGGAAATTGTGCCACCCAAATATCTGGCAAGGACCACCTTCATGGACCATGTGAACCACATGCCTCTTACACTGACTTGAACTCACATGCTGCACCTCAGGGTCCTAGCCACGAAGCTCCCAAACTCACCCATCTGTAAGAGGACTCTCTCTCTCTCTCTCTCTCTCTGGGTGTGATTTGGTTGATATGGGGGTCGATTACAGTAAACCTTGCATTAGTAGTATCAGTTGGGACCATACATGCGATACAACTTATGCAAAGTCATGAGTTATGTCATATTTCGTCCACAAAATATACAGTCAATTCACTTTACAGTGTATTCTGTGAAGGGCTTTGAGATGTCTCGAATACTTGATGAGGCGCTGTATCAAATGCAAGGATTATTACTATATTATATATATTTGCATAGATGCAATGGGAGATGCACTGACGTACCACTTAGGCGATTGTACGATTTATACAGATCAGACTTCTGCTAGTTTTACTGTAGTCGGTCCTTAATGCAACATTTTACCACTTTTGTGGATTTCAAAAGGTTTTTCAAAAATTGTTTTTTTTTAAAAAAGCTTTTTTTCTCTCCCCAGAATCTTATGTCACAATATAGACAAATACACGCATACACATGATGCTGGCAAGCACAACGAGACACGTGGAATCTGGCTATGTTTTTCACCAGGGTTCAGAGACTTAATTCTATCATTTTGCTCTTCTGTGGAGCAGGTCTTCTCTCACAGCCCAGACAATTCTTTATCATTCACCTTCCAAAGTTTCTTTCCAAACTGTTAAATCATTTATTGTAGTGCTTGATTGCATTTTGTTTCAAACCATTGGCAATGCATTGAATTGCTCCTGTACTATTTTGCATTGTGGTAAAATATAGTTTGCGGTTTGTGAATTTGCTCCTCATTTAGGATGCTGTCTTAATGTCAAATTAGGAATATGTTGTCACCCAAATTAAGGTTGCCCGAAAATCATAGAATCTTCCAAGAACAGGAGGAGGCCATTAGGCCCATTGTGCCTGTGCCGGCTCTTTGAAAGAGCTATTCAACTAGTCCCACTCACTAGCTCTAACCGCATAACCCTGCAATTTTTTCCTTTTTAAGTACCTATCCAATTCCCTTATGAAATCTCAAAACAGAACAGACACCACTGGCCATTAAACAGTTACTAGTCAATTCTTTGGTTCTGCAGTGACCTGATAGTAAAACTTGCATCAGCAACCTGAAGGGAATGAGTCCCATTAAAGCAAAAGGAAACTGCTTGCTCAATGCAGGAACATTGCATCAGTGTTCTATATTAACTACCATTTCTCACCTGAAAGAACGAGAGATGATTTAATGGAGGAAGGGACATTGGAAGTCTATAATTAAACATTTTGCTGTACCCTGAGGGTGTTTGGCATGGAGACGTTAGCTCGCATTTATTCTTTTTTTTTAAAAAGACAGGTAACTTTATAATGTACTATAATAGGCTTGAACACAACCACATGCACAGCTCAAAAAGAGTTCCAGTTATAGAGTAACCTTGCACCAGAACACTTCTCATTCACTGCCATTGAAAGTGCAATACCCTAAAAATTCCCATTCACTCCCAGTGTAAGTGCAACATTCCAAGCCATCCAATTCAGTCTATTTCTGGCAGATCCTGTATGAAAACATAAGAATATAAGAACAGGAGTAGGCCATTCAGCCCCTCGAGACTGTACCACCATTCTATTAGATCATGGCTGATCTGTTCCTCAAGTCCAATTACACCTTTGCCCCTGTTACCCTGACATAACAAACATTTATCCACCTCCGTCTTGAAAATTTTGATGGATCCAGCATCCACAGCTTTTTCGGGGAGAGAGTCCCAGATTTCCACTCGCCTTTGCGTGAAAAGATGCTTCCTGATTTCACTCCTAAATGGCCTAGTTCTAATTTTAAGATTGCTCTGGGTTTTCCCATCCATCAGAGGAAATAGTTTCTCTGCAGCTACCCTGTCGAATCTCTTTAAGTCCCTTTCCATCCTCTCCCATTTTGTAACAATTTATGATCCAAGCCTAATATTTATTATTACCCTTCTTGTAATCCCCGATTCTGTTGCTCAGCGCTATGTTCAAGAAAGCTATTTTGAAATATACAGAGCAAGAGTTTTGACTTCAGGTATCTTTTTAAATGCAAAATATGTTTTCATTTTTCAATAAGTTTCCGTTTTTGTTTAGACTGAATAGCTATGAGGTGTGGATCAGCGAATGATTTGCTCTTATGGGTACCTCACAGTAACAGTGATCGATAGAGAACATTTCTGGGTGGAGAAACAATGGGAATGTGTCAGGATTCCATTGTACAATTAAGCGAGGAACTTTGCACTAAATATATATATATATATATATTAAAAATAAGCGTTTTTCAAAAGAATACAACCCAGCGTTCCTTTTTATCTAGTCTCATTCATTTTGGATGCGTTGATTTTAATTATTTCTTTGCACTTATTACGGGTGTTTTTTTTAATACTTTTACAGCATTTCCAACAGTGAAATGTAAGCGCAAATTGGAACAAAATAGTCTCAATTGGTTATAATTGTACATGTATTTATATGAAGGAAACCTCCGTCGCAACACAACGTGTCCTTTGATCGTTATCTCTTTAAGTGCGACATATATTTGTTAAAAAAATACAATTTTAAAGAGTAGACGTAGCGTTAAAACAAACTTATAGTTAACTTGTGTGTATAACTTTTTATAATAGACCCATGAATGAATCAAATGCTGTCGAGACATATAGAAGACACACAAACAAACGCCTCTTTCATTTTTCTATTTTTAGAAGTAATTTTCTTGCCAAAATGCCTGGTATACTTTTAATAAAATTTCGTCTTTAAAAATGAATCTTTTTTTTATTTTAACCTTTGTTTGATAACGTTGTGTTTCTTGGTTCACAGGACGCTGTTGTTTTTAAGAGTGAGTTTCCCATCTTGTAGTGCTCAGTGTCCCAGAGACTCGCCCTTTCCTAACCCTCATCCATCATCCGGACAGGATGTACTTTGAGCTGGCAGTTAGTATGCATACTGAGGCCCGAGACTTTTAGATTTTTCTTTGCACAATGGTCCTCTTCCCAGTCAACTAAAAATCTAGAACTTTCTTCCGTGTTTGCTTCCAAGCCATCCCTGTCGTGTCTTCGGACTCCCAGACACCGCTCTGTGGCCTATTGCCATTAATAAACAGCTTCCCTTGGATCACAAAACGTATGGAAGTTGTTGAAATTAGGACGGGTCGCTAAAAGACACAAAAAACTGTGTGGGGGATGGGGGTAGTTAAAAAGGAACCGAGTCACTCTCCTCCCCATGAACTCTAAAGGGTTGACTCATTGCCTAATTAACATACAAATTGCATAACTACTTTTAATTCGAATTATCTAAACAGTTTCTCCCCTGTCTTAATTGTTCTGGTTGCAATTAGCCAGCACTAACCACACACTTGAAATAACTTTTTTTTGAAAGATTTGTTTAGTTTGTGCCTTATAATTGTAATTAATTAAATAAGCAAAAGAAAAAGTGAGAAATCGTTCCTCCCATTTGACAGATGGTACAATATATATTATAGGGAATACCAATATACAATATCAGATGAGGAATCCTGGGATAAAGGATCGCTGGAAAAGTTTTCAATCTTGGCTTGATCTATTTTGTACTTCAGAGAGAAATGGTCAAGATTTTGTGACAAATCATTTTACAATCTTAAGTTTTGTGCCCAAAATTCACATTTGCTTCAGTCGATTTCCAATTATTTGGTTATTTATAAAATACACAGTCAATTCACTTTACAATGTGAAGCGGTTTGAAACATCTCAACGACTTGATAAGGCGTTCCATCAAATGCAAGGATTGTTATTATTATTATTTGGCCCAGGATCCGCCATTAAGACAATGAGTGTGTCAGTTAGTCCTTAACGAGAAGTGATCAGGGCTACCGGTTCAGCACACACCGAATGAACACTGTCTGCAAATCAATGATTGCATTTGGTTCGACATAGACCGTTTTGCAAGACATTGCATATATATATATATATTTTACAGTATATACAATATATATTAGATGTAGTACTCAAGTGTTGAGGATCATTTTCATAGCGCTTGCTGCACTGACGTACAATGAAATTATACAGTAGTTTCCATTCGGAAAATATTAAATCAGGGTTGGGAAATAATTCAATTCCTGGTGCTTGAGAGGTCAGTGGATTTGCATATGGTTGTTCAGAACTGCTGATGCCGCCTGAAACCTCTTCCACTGGCCATCCGGCCCACGCACTTGCAAGAGGCCACATTAAACACACCTCCCACGCGAATTCTAGCCAGAGATACAACCAAGAAAGCCCCCCTATCCCCTCCACTCTCTCACTCTCTCTCTCTGACGCCTTTGGTATGATTGTCTTTGGACGCCATGTTTTGCAATATATAACAAATTTGGGGAAAAATACACATTCTTTTCTGTTTAAGTTTTTTTTTATCTATTAACCTCACTCTCTTGCCTGAGCCCAACACTTAACAGCTTGTGGGTGTGTGTCTGTGTGTATGGGAGAGAGAGAAACCAGAAAAAAAGGCCTCTGGTATTTCAACAATGAGGAAGAAAATATCAAATGCAAATTGCATTCGAATCAGTGCAAACTGTAAATGTACAACAGTACAACATACAGGGATTTGGCCAAGAGATGGACAGTTTTAGCACAAAGAAACGGGCTGAACTTCTGGTAAAGCAGAAATCCTCAACCATTGAATTGCGATAGTCATAAATTTCCTTCAACTGAGGCTGAAGTCAGTCTTACTTTTACAAAGGCAAAAGTGAAAGTGTTTACTGGGAGGGTTGTGATTTACTCTACAACCCCCCACCACCACCACCAACACACACACACATATTATATATATATAAAACACTCCACACACAAATAGACAGTTTGCAGAGATCACATTGAACTAAAACTGAGCTATTTCCCCCCAACAATTGTGTGGCGTGGTCTGTTGGGCCCGGTTGGGTGTTTGCTTCTGATTAACAGTAACTACCGACCTACTCAGTGCTGAGCTCTCTGTTCTGCTCCAGATGTGAGCACCAAATTTATAAACCATCGCCACTGGGCAACACGCCTGCTGTAAAACTAAAAAAAAACCTTTTCAAAACGAAACTGAAAAAAACCCCCACTGGTTTTGTTTAAACTCACAAATGTTTGCAACACAAATCTGTTTACATTAAACAACTGCTTTATTCCTGCTTGGGATGGGGTGAAAAATCTCTGAATCTATAACAAATCGTCTCACTAAACCTCTCGAGATAATCATTTTTTGTAATATATATTAAAACAATTAAATTATTTAGCTCGGGTTGATGACATTTTTTTTGCTCCGGGGTCTGATTTATTTTAAGAAAGGCAGAGTTGTAGATTCCACGTTGCAGTGTCAGTTTGTTCAACGTTTAAGTCTAAACAGCTCGCGATTTAGAATGAGCACCTTTTAAAAATAAGTGTAATTCTCAACTATTTATTGGCGGTTGATGTCTGGAGCTTCTCTTAATGGTATGGTGTTAAAAGGTCTGACCTTCCAGCGCTCTCCCACTGGAGTGGGTGATGGTGTGATTATAAAATGCTGAGACTGAACACAAACAGAAAGAATCGCGTTTACTGACAACGTATCAATGAGTGTTAATTTACTTTTCCCCAAACACCAAAACACCTTCGTGTATTGAGAACACTTCATTCCCACCAATGCAACTATTGTACCCCAATTCCCTTTCTCGTAAAGCGGAGATAATAATAATTATTATTTAATAATAATAATAATTATTATTATAATAGTAGTAGGTATCTGAAAGATAATCAAAATTCTGGTAATGTTGTCCCATATTTCAACACTAGACTCTCTACTTCACTTTCACACTCCTAAGCAAGAACAAGTTTCTAACGAATTTGGGTCGTCACCAATCTTCCTTTATTTACTGATCACAATAAAATCCAATTAATGTATGTCCCACTTTGCTTTGGGTGCGATCAAATAACACGAAAGATAATGCAAGTCGCGCAGTTTCTCTTTTCAAATCCAATTTTATAAAAACAAACCTCCCGATGAAGCAAAGAAGTTGCTTTTTAAATCTTGTCAGTGATCAAAGTCGACATAAAAAGATTGCATTTCCTTACTAAAAAAAAAGTTGTAAGTGGGTTTAGCAATGGGTTGCTTGGATCAGATTTGTCACACACACACACACACACACACTTTGAATGATGTGCTGGCAACATTGCTCGGCAGATTCCTGCTTCGGGCAAATCTGCCTCTCATGAACAGAAGTGACATTCCTACATCTGTGGGCCAAGTGAGTCCTTTCAGGAATCCGAGCCCAGCTTGAACACAGCAAAGCGTCAGCCATGAAACAAGCTTATGAGAGACACAGGCCCTCTTCTCTCTCTCTCTCTCTCACTCCTGGGGAGTCAGTCCAGATCAACTGCTTGTTTCGCCCACAAAATACACAGTCAATCCACTTTACAGTATATCCCGCGAAGCGTTTTGAGACGTCTCGGAGACCCTACATCAAATGCAAGGATTATCATTATTATTATTATTAATGCACCATTAACACTTCCAAAGTCGCGATCAACTCACTTTTATTTGACACACACAAAAAAACGCACTGGATCGTTGTAGGTGGGATTCATCAGGAAGATTCCAATTCAGAAAATGTTATAATCTGCAGACAGGATTACCCAGAATTTGGTGCGTGTGTTTTTTTTCCCCCAAAAAAATTTCACGGAGGAAAAATGGAACAACACAGCGGCAAATACATTAGCAATAATAAACTTTGCATTTAATATACAGCCTTTCATGTCTCGGCGATGTCTCAGAGCTCTTCCAAGATTTTATTGTAATGTGTAGTGACTGTGTGCTGTACAGGCGAACGATTATGGTTGGTATCATACTTTTGTTTTGTTAATGCAACGTGGCCACACAAAATCGTCTCTTGAGCAGTGCACACGGGGACAATTCAAAGTTTACTGAGTGAGTAGAATTCATTCCTTCACAAATCCCCTTCAAACCGATCTCTCAATCAAACAACCGCGGTGTTGTAAAGTTGTGTTCTGAGCAAATCTATTGCAATTGCTCGGCAATAGAGGGTACATGCATATCCTTGCATTTAAATACACTCACAGCAGCAAATAACTGAATATATTCATTTCCAACCTTAAAATAGATTTTAACTCATTTCCTTGGGTATTCTGACAGTGGATGTTTAACTTTTTTGCAAGGCTTAAATTACCGAGTGCATATAATAATAATTTGATATTATTTGCTACAGCGTCTCAGAATATAAATGTACTTAATAATTACAGCCGCCAATAAAATGTGTTTAGATGGTACCTTCCCTATCCGGGCAAACCACAGTCTCGTGTGCGCCTGTGATCAATTTAACACTACTTTTTCCCCGCTAGGTTGCTGCCTATTAAGCTTTTTTTTCGCATGCAGATGGATTGCAATGCACTTAAATGCGGGTTCATGAATGTTGAAATGGAGCCCTTTCGCTGTCCAATGAGACACGATCTAAGCCTTTTTTATTGCAGTGTGTGTGTCGGGGGGGGGGGGGAGATACGCGGTACTTTCTGGTCAATCCAGTGAGGTGTGGGAGCCATGTTGTGCTGTGTAACAAGGAGTTTTATTTGTTGTGATGATGAAGATTGTTGCTGGGATGACTGGGAGGACATGGGGCGTGTGTGTGGGGAGGGATAGAGAGAGAGCGAGAAAGAGTAAAAAAAACAGAATGTACGACAAGGTTTTAAATCTCCAGAAACGAGAGGACGTCTACAACGCGGAGAGAGGGAAAGAGGGAGAGAGAGAATAAGAATTCTGCTTTGTACAACTCACGAGTGACTCAAGGTGACCTGACAAGTTCCCCAAGAACATAGCACCGAAGACGGATGAGAGAGACAGAGAGAGATCAGCACACATGAATCTTAAGACATATATAATATTTGGATCGACACCTAAGGTAACCATCCTTATATACTTGTCATTATCATCCCCAACCCTCCATTCCAATCTCAGGACAGTCATCCCACGGGTTAAGTAACTAAATCGTTTCATATCCAGTTAGAATTCTGCTCACCACGTCGCCACTGCCCATATATATGTTTAGAAGCAATGCAAACTTTTTGATGTTCCAAAACTCGCTGCTATGTCGTGAGTGGTAAATATAGGAGACGAGCAACAGGTTGCGATACAGACTGTAAATAGATTGGATTTAATAATCTATAACAATACCTCCCTCCCAAAAAATGACACTTTCAGTTTATTTCAAACAAGTTTCGAGGTGTCAGATCTTAACTTTAAGTTGAATGTGTTCTCATGAGCATCGAGGCGGCTCATTAACCTTCCTGTATAATTGAACTGCTTTGCACCCTTAACCTCACCAAAGTGAGTGAGATATATCTGAGAGAGAGAGAGAGAGAGAGGCCATAAGGGAAAACTCGACTTTTCCTACATTGAGTAAGGATTTCAGAAAGAATTCGCACAAAGTAACTACTGTAATGACTGTTGGGAGACTTTTCATTGAACAGACACCAAATGAGGAAATGCGTTTCCCAATTTGAAATGATATCCCATTTTACAACACTATCAAATACTGCACTTTTTTGGTTTGTTAACTCCTTAGAAGAGAAAATGTGCAAATAGGATAAATGTTCCGATCTTACTTTTAATATATATTTCTTGTAATTCGGTTTCTCTTCGGGGTAAATGATGATTCATTTTGTAAATATACTCTATAAATAGTCTGAAACTATTAATTCAAAATTTAAATTTTCTGTTCAATCCCATCATAACGAATATAATGATAATCCTTATATTTGATATAGCGCCTTATCAAGTCGTTGAGACGCCTGAAAGCGCTTCACAGAATATTACTGTAAAATGAATTGACTATATATTTTGTGGGCGAAATATAGAATAGATTTACATCTGAATAGCACTTACCAGTAATTTCACAAATGCTCATATATTTTTGCTTTACTTTTTAATATTTAAACACTTGACGAATCATCCACCCGTTATTGATATTGTCCTCATTGAATTTGGTCAAATATGTATTTGGAAAATCTTTTGGTCGCAGAAGCGAAGAGTAATATAGAATGCATCGACATTAAATTCGGTCAATCGTGTCTGTGCTACGTGTAGTTAGCAATTGTGCACTAAGGCTTCTAAGTGAATCTATTAAGGAAAAAAAATGACCAGTTTGGAGAATGGGGTTGAAATTGGAACCTCTCTTTCAAGGGAAATAGGGACAAATTGTGACATTAAACTGTGTGTGTGTGTGTGTGTTGGGAGGGGTGGGTGTGTGGGAGGTGGGGGTGTAGTGTGGTGGTGGGGGGAGAACCCTATTCACAGGGCAGATCAGTGTCATTCCTCGGCTCAGAGATTCGATTCACAACCGCTTCTGAAAGCAAATGTGTTGAGCCGTCAAAGCCTTCAGAGTTGAATGCAAGAGACCTCTGTGCCAAACCTTCCTGCGAACTCATTAGGCGCTGAACTTCTATGGTTCGAAAACAAACACAGCGCCCAGTTTCCTCGCTGTCTAACCCAGTCTGAACTTTTGCAATGAAATATATATATATATATGTGTGTGTGTGTAGCACTTCGCTATCAAATCATGGAATTGGGGGAAGAGGAGAGACAAAGTGGCCAAAAAAACAAGTCCTTTCTACGTATGTTTTTTTTTAAATGAATTTACTCCGCCCTATAATTTGATTTTCAGTAAGATATTACCGAACAAAATAGCTTTGCTTCCCGCCCTGTGTGGATATCTGCCTATACAATATTGACATCGTCTCCTGGGAGAGAGGAACATTCCAGAACACAGAATTTAGCCACTTCTTAAACAAGCCTTATTTTTTTTTAAGACGATTTTTTGTGAGTTCTTTTTATAAGAAACTGCTTACGCTGAGCAAATTGACGTCCACGTGAAACAATAATAACCTTTAAATTTGATATAACGCCTTATCACGTCGTTCAAATGTCTCAAAGCTTCACAGAATATATTGTAAAGTGGAGTGACTATTTTGTGGGTGAAACGTGGTTAAGTCTAAATAGACTTATTTAGACTTGTAGACTCAATTTGACATATGACAAAAAAAAGCAAGGATTATTATTATTATTGCAGTCCATACCGGAACATAAAGTTAAAGAACTGGCATTGAATCATAATCAGAAATTGTTTGGGGACAAATAGAGACAATATATATTTATTGGCTTCTGTTTAATGCACCTTCATACACACCCATTTCCCTTAACCCTTTTCTATTGCTCCGGAGTCTCATTTATTTCACATCCATGATGTTGTTCACATTTTGCTATATATATACACATACATACACACATATACACACACTGCGGTGGATAGATTTTTGCTAGGTCGGGGTATCAAGGTATATGGAGCAAAGGCTGGTAATTGGATTTGAGGTACAGATTAGCCTTAATCTAATAGAATGGCGGAACAGGCTCGAGGGGCTGAATGGCCTACTCATGTTCACATGTTCCTATACATATTAATGGATATAATACTGTTCACTTTTGCCACAATGGAACAATTTAATCTACAATATCAGGGACTCATTGAAATCAGCGATAGTGAACACTGCTTCCCTTACATTCACCCACATTCTCCCATTTCCTGCCAATTAGCTCCATAACAAGGCAATAGAAATATTGTTAATATAGAAATTAGAGCCGAAGGAGCTCATTTGGCACATGAAGTCTACAATGATGGGAGCTTCCCATTCCAACCCCATTCCCCTGCACTTTCCTCATTCTGTCTGTGCTATTGCGAGTTCCCCACTGGAGCCATCTATTCTAACCAATTCCACTGCTCTGTCTCATGTTTAATACCTCCTATAATCACCTGATATGGTCACATGTAATTACTGATCTTGGGAATTCAGTCAGTTCAGGGCAATAGAGAATTGGTTCTTTATCATATTCTTTTGGACAGCCATGTGTCTGACACATGTGGAAATCCATCACCCTCTTTAAGAGTATCCAAACCAAACTGAGAATTCTATGCATCCCACCCATGCAGGGAAATTCCAGAGACAGATTGTTGGAATAGAAAGGGCACTCTCTGATTCCCTAATAAGCGTCCTGCTTATTAGGCGCAGGTTGGCAAGAGCCAAGGGGGACCCCCATAGTGTGCGTGGGGGTAACTGCTGACCAAGTAAAACTGCATTGATATTGCTGTCTGGCAAGCTTTCCCGCTGCTTGTCCAGCTAGGATTATCCTGTCCATTAGGGGTTGGCTTGTCGGGCTACCAGGAGCTGAGTGCGATGACTCCCTGCCCCCAGTCTTTCCCAACCCAACGTGGGGAGTCTTTGCATCCAATTCAAGGAGATGGAATGGAGTGAGGCTTGTCTGAGGGACTGCAGTTCAGAATCCAACATGAATCCATCTAGGCAGATCAATCAATGTTATATTGAACCTCAATTTTCAGTGCAGAAATTCATATAAATCGGGACCTGACCGGTGTGGGAAATGGAAACAACCCCAGAAATTCCACAGTAGTAAGGTTTAAGTTAATGTACAATAATAAGATGGTGTGGCATTCAATCCAACATGTAATAATAATGATGATAATAATAATTCTTGCATTTAACATAGCGCCTAATCATGTCATTAAGATGTCTCAAAGTGCTTCATAGGATAAGAAATTTATTTAACGGTAAAGGGAATGGACTGTGTATTTTGTGGGAGAAAGGCGGCAGGGTCCCACAGACAGTTGTGGATTGAGTGACCAAATTATTATTATTATCATTTTACCTGGGCCTGTTGGATGGAACAATGAGCTTTGCTCTGTGTCTAACATTGTACCTTACCTCACCTGCATACAGAGAGCTTATGATCTTATATTTCGAACGCCCTCATACTCACTCTGGACAACCAACAAACTAAATATTGACTTTTTAAAAAATAATAACATATTGATACAAGCTTCTGAATAGGCCAGTTATTTTTTGTAGAAAGCTTCCAGGTCACATATAGAAGAGTTGCGAAGATACTTTTTTTTTAACACTGATTTTGCTTTGTAATTGTTATTTACAATCTATCTCTGGGATTTCCATGTGTAGGTGGGATGCGTGGAATCCTCAGTTGGGTTTGGATACTCTTAAGCAGGGTGATGGGTTTCCGCATGTGTCAGACACCCATCTGATCATACTTGTGTGTGCGTTTATATATATATAGAGATATATATAACATTTTTTTCAGAATAATAGTACGTTTTTATGTGTAGACAAATGTTATATTACCATCCCAAGGCACCAGGAACTAACATATTCCTAATTTTATGTGAATGGAGGCGGCACCTTCAATCTATTCATGAAAGAGTGCAAATTGATTGTGACTCGTGCACAAATGTAGCGCTGAAACAGCAGTGAAGGTCTGTGTGTGATGTGATCATCTTGGAATATTTGTTAACACGCACAGTCTTTTGTCCTTCCTCCCACCGGGATGGGAGTATTTGCTGCGTGTGCAGAAAAACAAAACAGCGCACAGAATGGACCACTCACTGTGCAGAAGTGCTGAGCTGTGCTCTGCTGTGCACATGTTTTCCATTTTTTTTAAATCCAAAAAGGAGAAGACACCAGAGGCATGTTTCTGGGAGAAATCAACACCTCTGCGCACAGCTGGGACCCCCAGATCATGTGGGAGGATACATCTCCTCCCCCGCACCCCCCCCAAATAAACCCACCGTTTTACCATAGAGTAACTGCTGACCTGTTTAGAGACTATATACCAGTAGTGTCTGCTTATGTACATCCAACACCAATGTACTGGTGTAACGATTCTTAAAGGCTAACCTTTCTTATCTTATTTGATGCAAATGTAATAATAATACTTGCATTTGATGTAGCGCTTTATTAAAACGCTTCAAAGTGCTTCACAGAATACACTGCAAAGTGGATTGACTTTGTATTTCGTGGGCGAAATACATTTTTTTTTTGTATTTCATACATAGATTTTTGTGAAATGGATTCATTAAGCTTTCAAATGTTTCACCAGGTGGGGGAGTTGAATTGGAACGATGCTAAAAGGGTGGGAATGCAAATCGAATTTCAATGCTCACAGAAATAGGTTGGGGGTGGGGTGGGGGGGAAGAGAGGAAATCTGCACTTTTGTATTTGTGAAAAAAAACTCTATTATGCAACACCCCAGAAAGGGTCATAAGCGCTTTGGGACGCTACACTGCGCGAGGGGAGCTATATACATGTAAGTAACAATTGTTGGTGTTGGTTTTCATATATCGGCCCCTTTAAATAGATGATTCGAGCGAAATGATCTGCTTTTATTGTCCCTGCTCTGCCGAGGTATAGCTCAGTGCAGATACAGCGACTACCTGCAGGTGAGGTAAGCAAAATGTAAGTGTGTAAAATGTAAGATGAAAGAATCCGAAACGCTCTTAAATCCAGTCTTAATTTGGAAGTCAGATTTTGTTTAAAAAAAAAGCGGATTTCAAATTAAGACTGAATTGATGAATTTTCCACAATCATGTGGCCCTAAATCTAAGCGGAATCTAGCCCTAGAGTCAATACCGAATTGGGGGGATATTGCGACTATTTTATACCGAACATCCAACGCCGAGCAACATTTAGTGTCCCCCACCAAAAAAAATCAGTTTGAGTCTTTGCTTTAAAATGCTCATTTGCTGTCAGGGATATTATCGAGACACTATAAAGAGAACAGGTAGAAAGCCGCTGTACAGAGGAAAGACGAACCCGATTCTAAAGCTATTAACACTAATCAATACGATTGAAACAGACAGAGAACACTGGACATAACAAAAAGGTTTCATTATCTCCGGGACATTCACTGCAGAAGTTGTTGTCAAAACAGGAAGTGCCAATTTTGCATCTTGGTTTGCAATCCACTTCCTTTTGAGGTATAGCTTTCTGTCTGTCCCTCTCCCTCCCTCCCTCCCTCCCTCCCTCCCTTCCCTGGCTTTGTGCTACAGAGCTCTGTCTCTCACCCCTCACTCATATTCTCCTTCATTTGTCTTTCTGAGTGTCTACCTCCCTGTCCCCAGAGTATAAAAAGCACTTTACTGATGTCCAACAAACTTCACAAAGAAATGCCTGTCATCACAAGTTGGTTTCCTCGGGGTTTCAATTATTTTGATGTTGAAATGTTTCGTCGACATGTGAAGGGTTAAAACAAGCCACAATGAACTGGAAGCGGTGTTGAAATCCACTTCAGACTCCCACGAGTATTAACATCCTCCATTGTGGTTTCTGCCTTCACATCAGCCTTGCACAAAATATCATTTACCTTGGGAGGACCACATCTCAGGCTAGAAAACCTACTTGCACGCGTGCAACAGAAATGGAAATTTCGCTCGAATAGCCTGACGTTAAACTGTATTACACTGAAATACAACCGTTTCCTAAAATCAGCATAATTTAATAATTAATGGCAACAAATGTCATGTACTTTATCCCTGCATCGATGTCACCTGATGCTTTGGAAAGGGGAGCATTCTACAACAACCAGTCCAGGAGCCAATCCCATTCCGACGACTTGCCCTGAGGTTGTCGGTGATTGTGTGTGTGTATGTGGTTGAGTGTGTTCATCTGGGTATATCAGTACCTTGTGGTAGGTAATGTGATGCGTGTCTGAATCAGTGTCTGAGTCAGTGTGAGTATATCTGTGTGGGAATAGCAGTCTGTTGAATGCATATGTGTGTTTTTATATGTATGGGAGGATAGGAGATTAATATCTTAAATCTGTTTCAGCTTCATTGGAAATAAAGGTCACTGTACAGCAAAAGCCATGGAAATATCACACAGGAAAATACCTCTTCACACAGAAAAGTTGTTATTGAACTGCAATAACCTTAGCCTTAGCCCCCGGTGTGACAATCTGCCAACAGGATTGTAATAATCATCTCTCATACAATGCATCTTAAATCTACTGCTCAGATTACATGTTAGCATGAATTCCAATACATCTAGATGAAGCATAATAATAGTAATAATCCCCACATTTGATATGGCGCATCTTTACGTGGTTGAGACAACTCAAAGCGCTTCACAAGATATCGTAAAGTGAATTGACTGTTATTTGTGGGTGAAACGCAGCAGCCAATTGCATACAGCAGTGTCCCACAAACAATCGTGGATTGAGTGACCAAATTATTTTTTTAAGGGATTATTACCCCCAAAAACCCATTTGATTAAAAACTGGGTTCCTACTTACTGCTCGGTAAACAGAGGTGTGTGAAGTAAGGAAATTTGCCTAAGATTTCGCCCCATCCAGGTCCACTCGTTTTTACTGTGGTCATGAAAATCTGTGTTCAAGTTGGCCTTAAAGCCCTCACAATTGGAGAAGCCCACCACTCTAGTTTATACATGAATCCAGATCCCAGAGTTGGCAGTGAATGTCCTTCTTTCAAAGCGGATTGAATCCCCTATTCCATTGGCTTCACACACTTTCTTAGATTAAGGCCCATAGGAACATAGGAACAGGAGAAGGCCGTTCAGCCCTTTGATCCTGTTCCGCCATTTCATTAGATCATGGCTGATCTGTGCCTGAACTACAACAAGTACAACAACAAAATTACATTTGTATAGTGCCTTTCATGTCAGGAGGACGTCCCAACTAATCCTTACAATAACTCAATTTTACAAATTGGGTACATTTCGGCTGGTGCTGCTCTGTATTGGAATTATCTAATCTAATCCAATGTCCCTGCTCTTTCCTGTAGTCTAATAATGTATCTACATTTTAAAAAACACAGACAATCTTTAAGCTCACTTTAAATGTTGTTTATCCACTCGACTAGGATTAGTTGTAAGCATGAATACAAATCCTGTCAATGTTTTGGTCAAGGTGGTTGGAGTTACAGATGGGATAATTTGCTTGCTTGCTTACTTGATGAACCGTAAAATAAACTAACGCTGAACAGGCATCTCACCTCTACAAAACACGGCTAACGTTTAGGGTGTTTGCTGGACAGGTCGTATCTTTGACGTAGCGTTCAGAACATGTCTACAACACCACGCCTCATTGATGAGCCAGACTGACTGGTCAACCATGAACAGTGTCTAGGATTACCACAGAGCAGCCTGGGTTCTCCAGCTGTGTCTACTCAGAGATAGCTCGACCCCAGGAAAGACCTCCCTCAAGGAGCAAAGATAGAGAGATAAATAGATAATAGAGACATTTTATCCCAGAGGGATTAAAATCCTAAACTTTCAAGGGTCCCAGGTCCCCTGCTCAATCAACTGGCCAATGATATGAAATGCCTCTTTGTTGTTTATGATTAAGGATTAAGCTTCACCCAAGGGTAGGGAATTTTTTTTTACTAAAACTATATTCAGTTATATTATTCATATTGGGGATATACTCTGTACCCCCGAAGACGGGTGATTGATTCCACATTTCAGTTTAAATACTACTGCGCTCTCTTTTATCTTTTAAAAAGGAGCAAGACTTTTCTTTTAATGTCGAGCCACATTACTAATTGTTGACGGTTCTATTCAGTTGATCGAATGGGCCCAATCTCTGTGATGATGCACCCGTGATATCAAGACATCTCTGGTAAAAAAAAACAAGCGCCATCTTGTCAACGGAAGGCATCACCAAACTCCCAGGTACGTACGTAATTTCACAAGATTCTGGACTGCATGGGGTTCTGTTGATAAATCTGAAATGCGCAAGGATTTCACCAGATTTGTCAATAATATAATAATCCTATGCATTTGATAGAGCGCCTTTGAGACGTCTCAAAGCGCTTCGCTGTAAAGTGTATATTTTGTACATTTTGTGGGCAATTTCAGCTTATGAGATGATCTCACTCTCTCCCCACCTCCCCCGATCCAGCCCCCACCACCCATAATGAAATGGGCGACCCAGTCATTACCCCCCCACACCCTCCGCCCCCCATTCTAAGATCGTGTTAATTTTTCATGTAAAACCAGAGTTAATAGCGATCATGTTGCCAGTCACCGGGAATTAACGGGGCTTTTGAAATAATATGAAGGGCGCGGAGTGGTGCAGACTGATCCTACAGCTGTGACAAGAAGTTCAAAACCGTTCTGTCAGCCAAGACTGTAGGAGCTGTCAACGTTTCATATTTTTGGTTGCAAACTCTCTCCAGGACTGAAAGAGCAGATCGCTGCATGTGACATTTTCTTCCTGGGGGGAAATTCGCAAAGTGCAGCCCGCAGCGAAATTTTGACAACCTTAACAACGCATTTGCCAAGACAGAGCGAGAGGAGGGAGGGAGGGAGGGAGGGAGGGGGAGAGGGGGGGAAGGAGGGGGTGGGAGTGGGGGGGTTAAAAAAAACAGCAGCAGCAGAAATCATGATACACAGATTCCTACAAAAGGAGCAGACGGATAAGGCTGGACTGATGCTTGAAGTTCCCACAACCTCCCCCCCCACTCCACTCCCTCAGATACCCACACAAACACACGTCAACTTGCGCTATTGGCATCTGCGAATAGGTTGAAAGACGGGGGGGGGGGGGGGAGACACTGGGGACCTTTTTTTAGAACGAAGAAAAGCACTTTATTGATCACAAAAGGCAGATTATCAGATTACCCAGACCACTACACTTAAAATTACCCACCACTGAAGGATTTCCCCCGCAGTATTTTTCTTGGGTCTTTTTACTGAAAGGTGGGCGCTTATAATATTCCTTACCTGTGTTGCTCCTACCTTCAGCCCGGCTCCTCCTTCCATTACAGGATCAATCTTCTGTTGAAATGGTCGCCTCACCTGGGCCGGTAAAGGAAGCTTTTGATGAGAGAGCCTCGGGGATAAGGTAACCCGACACTGGGGAGTATCTGAATAGAGTTACATTCAAGACCTTTACACACAACATGGGCTACAGTAATTGTACCAATTCCCTTGTTATTGGGAGGAAAAGCAGCTGACAGACTGACTACCAACCACCCCATACCTTCTCCGCTTTGATAAAAGTCTAGCCATCCCACCCTTACATTTCCATTTATCAGCCAGACTTCAAATGCCCTTACCTTTAACAATTTTCGCAATCTATTGTGTTTAAAGACTGTATCGATCTTACAGTTACTCTACATACTTTGGGTCAAATAAATCCTGTCCGTCTTGTAAGTCTGTGTGTAAAGATTTCATTGGCGAAGGATACAGTCTTGTCAAAGTGCCACGAGAACTGCTGAAACCGGTTACAAGTCATCAATTGGAATCGATAAAGGATTTCCCCCCATTAGGCTTCGGGATTGAGCTAAATGGACACGTTTCTCGCTCTCATTTCCCCCTATCGGCAGTCAGTCAAAGGGAAAGTCTCTCAGTCACTCATTTGAGTAACTAAAGTTTAATCACCAGTAGCAGTTAATAACCAGTAAGAGTTTGGTAAAACTCGCCCTTGCATCTTATATTGCCAGCACTCCCGCCTGTTAGCTCAACTATTTTTGTTTGCATTTAATCGTGGAAACTGCCCTGTTCGCTTGTGCAACCAATTAAAATGCGCTAACTTGAATGGTTCGCAAGCGTGTGGCAAGTCGCTTAGCAACTGAGAGAATTTTGTATGCGGTTCTTCAGTTGGGAGAGAGAGCCCTCGTGTTCCTGTCCATGGCGATTCGCAGTGAGTTTCAGAGAATATTGTTTTATTGCACATAATACGCAGAGACACCATCCGTATCTGTGCCCTCAACCTCCTTGCAGTACAATTTAACCAACTTTTGAGAGGTTTTTGCCGAATTTGTTGTACAAAGTTGCTGATGATAATTTGCTAATGATAAACAGTTGCAGGTGGGTAACCGTGGTAAGCACTAGTATTATTACTAGTATTATTATATTATTATTGGGTGCAAGTCTGGCGTTGTCGTGGGATGGACAGTTTGCTAATCCCAATTTTCATGGAATTGATGAGTTTGGATGAAACGAGGTAACAGTGCACAAGACATCAGGGTTCACATTCTCAGATTACCCAAATAATCTGGTATATGAACGTTACAATGCGATGAGGACAGGAGACTGATTTAAGTTTGTTTCAAATGGCCTCTTATTCCTACAGAAACCCTCTCCGTCCCCCTCACCCGAGTGATGTGAGGCGATGCACCCAACCAGAGAGACTTTGCTTTGCAAGTATGGTTGTGTTGTGCGCCTTGGGATGTCCTCCCGACGTGAAATGCGCACTGCAAATGTAATTTGTTGTGTATTTACAGAAATGTGAACATATTCTGCAGGCCAAGGTGAATTAAGAAGAAGCTTTTAAATCGTTCTGGAAACGGTTTCATCGTCCGTTCTGGTATTTACTGGAACCTCCGTTTGTCGAGTGCAAATGGCCTGGATACCGACGTGGGAAGAGATGTGGGGAAATTCACAGAGGTGTGTGTGTGAGAGAGAGAGAGAGAGAGAGGGGGGGCGGGGGTAGTATTCACGTTATTACACAATTCACGACTACAGTAATGTTGATGTCCTGAAATCTCCCATATCAGCTTTCTCTATCCAGTTCAGAATTTCATAATATCTTTCAATAATCTTTGCATATTTGATACAATTCTTATAACATGGATACGGATCAAAGTATCTCAATCTCAGTGCTGCATCCCATGTCCCATTACTTAAGGGGGGGGGGGGGAGAGATATAACAAAACCTAGAGTGCGCAACGGGATGGGGAGATTGACTAGGTAATGGAAGTTAAGGGTGTGTGACTAATGAACAGTTGGGGGAGTATAGGTGGCTCTCTCACATGTTTAAGACTAAATTCCATTATTCAGTATTTCATTATTACTCTGATGAAATATTCCGACGCTATCGGATAAGAAATCGATACATAATATAATAATTAATAATATTCCGTGCATCTGGTGTACAGTACAGTGATAACTGGTGATAAACACAGCAAACTCGAGTTGGGTTACAGAGGAATTAGAAACTTAAGAATTGTCAGTGAGTTAGCGTTTAACTTGACTGACTGACTGCCCACGGTGACTGGTGGTTCCAGACTAGCAACTGGCTGCAGTGAGGTTGATTTCTGGTCTGAATGATACAGGGTTCAGACACAAACTACACAGGACAGTCCTAAACCTCTTTGACCACTAGATACCATGTCAGTGTTGGCGATTGTTCATTAAAATGATCTATCTGTCCTGTGAAGGGTTATTACAGGGCTGGGGGAGGTGGTATCGGCGCATTGGGTACCAATGAGTTGTCTCACTCTCACCCCAAATACTCATTGGGGTGGGTATGAACACCTGTGTAAATTATACACATATATATGTTAGTTTACCGCATAATATAGGGGTTTTCGCACTGTGGCTCAGCGGTGAGATTGCAGGATCCAGCAACATGGGAACATGGGAGCAGGAGGAGGTCATTCAGCCCCTCGAGCATGTTTCGCCTTTCCATTAGATCATGGCTGATCTGTACCTCGACTCCAATTATCCGCTATTGCCCCGAATCCCTTTGATATCCAGACCTAACAAACACCTATCCACCCCAGTCTTGGAAGATTTGAATGGATCCAACATCCATAGCATTTTGGGGGAGGGAGAGAGTTCAGGATTTCCTCTCCCTTTTGCGTGGAAAAAATGCTGCCTGATTTAATTTCCAAAGGGGTATCCCATACACTATCTGGTTGTTTAGAACATTTTGGGATGGTGTGGGGGAGGGAAGAGCGTTCGTGTTAGAAGGGAAACCCATGTTTGTAATGGGATCAGTGTTACTTTTTTAACATCTCGTCAGATTTCTTGAGCTTCAGAACATGATAACTGTAGTGTGGAATATTGAAGAACCGATGCAACAGCTGATGCTTAAATCTGATGCTTTCACCACGTTTTTAAGTGGATAATAAACCTTTTTCGCATTTTTGAAAAATCTTATTAATCATTCTCTTGTAATGTTGTTAAATGCGGAAGTCAACACACCGACGCCTCGCTGTTTGGGATGTCAGCCTCGCATTTTAGGTTTTCTTTGAATTGTAATTTTTGTTTCAATATTTTTAAAAAATCTAATTTGGAAAATGAAAAAAAAATGTTTTTTTTAAAAAACATATAAAACCAGGGCAAAACAAGTCGTTTGATTATTGCGCCAATTCGAATTAGCTTCTTAAAAAGAGAGAGGTGACGGAAATTTTAATTCCGGAATAAAAACGTATTTTTTTTCACGTTAATTCTGGCGCGCGGTTGAAATGATTTGCTGTAACTTTTTTTAAAAAAAATTAAATGCAGATCGGATTTGCACACCACCTTAAAACCAATGTCACTCGACGATAACAATGAACAAGTTTTAAAAACAATTGTTTCGAAATATATTTTTTTAAAAAACAAGATTTAAGGTCTTGACACTGGTGTGTGTGTTTTTTTAAAAAAAATAATGCTCCTCCCTTTCGGCTGCTGACAGTGCTCTGACAAAGCCGAGACTGAGATTCCCACAGCCTTTTTCTCACGTTCACCTCGAGAATCCGCAGACTCCAGTCCCCCCTCCACACTGGAGCCCATCCACCAAGCTCAATATGTCGAGAACAGCTGGCACCCGAGGAACTGGCTTCACTTACAGCCCTGAGAGTCAGCCATCCCTGGCTTTGCTGCGCGCCAGTCGGGCTCACTTGTCCAGCGCCCAATAGTGCTGTCTCTCCATCACAGATTGCACCCTTGTCAAAGCCACAGAGAGAGAGAGAGAAAGAGAGAAAGAGAAAAAAAAACACATCCTCACTGAGCCTCGTCATCTCGCCTGTCTCCCTTTTTTTTCTCCCCCCCCCCCCCCCCCCCCCCCCATCCATTCTTTCCCAGGCCCTCAACACTGATCAACTGCCTCGCCTCAATCTCCCAGTCTCCCCTTCCTCCTTCATTCATTCCCTGACCTTTCCAAACATTTGCATTGAAACTGACCACTTTCTGAGCTGTAGCGTATATCTGTATCTCACTCGATTTCTCTCTCTCTCTCCCACGCCAAGACTTGAGCTCAGGGTTTAGCGCGCGTTATTGATGGAGAGCTGACGAGCAGAAGCTCAACCAGAAGACATCAATCCCCAACTCCTGAAAGTCCATGCTCAGGTGTATCTTATATGCATGGAAGAAATGCACGAAGGTTTCTCTTGGTGTCCTGACCAATTCGTCTCTCGTCCAAATATAACGAAGAATGATTGGTTATTTTATGGGTTCATCTACACTTCACTTCAAAGTAACTGTCATTATGTGAAACACTTTGAAAAGTTTTGAAGTGGTAAGGATATATATGCCATAAACTAATTAAGTTTAGTAGTTTGAATGTGTGTGTGCGTGTGCATTCTGTAATTTTACCGCATTGAATGTTCGTGTGTGTATTTACATCAATAAATATATCTGTGTTTGCACCTGTCCCACTAACCCATTAGATCCCAATTCATCATCTCTCAATAGTAATTTTCTTTCAACTTTTAGCCCTTAAATTCCACCCAGTATCAGCCTGCGAGATGCGTTTATCTTGAAATTAAGACTGGCAGAATTAAATAAGTAATGATAATAATCTTTGCATTTGATATAGCGCCGTTGAGCGCTTCACAGACTACAATAAAGTGAATTGATTGTGTACTTTGTGGCCGATTCTTCAATCCAGTTTCAGAAATATTATGATAGAGTTCCTCAGGGTGTTCACGACGTCTATAAAACCAATTCCATTTCTTCCAATGTGAACCCTATCCCCTCTAACCCTGAAAAAGTGAAACTAAATCTCATTCAACATCAAAAACAGTGGAATAAACTAACATGCAATACTCTACCCCTTGAAGGATGTGTTTATCTGTTTCAATTAAATAAATAAAGTGGTCTTAATAATTAAGTATTAAATGTATTATTTAATGGTGATTTATTAATATGCATTTAATTTCCCAAACAAATAAATACAATTGGTCATTCAATATTTCTGTGACTGTTTGTGGGACACTGCTGTGCGCGATTGGCTGCCGGGTTTCACCCACAAAATACACAGTCACTGCACTTTACAACATGTTCTGCGAAGCGCTTTGAGACGTCTCAATAACGTGATAAGGCGCTGTATCAAAGATACAAGGATTGTTATTCTATTATTATTAATGCGTAACAAAAGATGTGAGCACAAACCCTGGACGCCAACCTTGGAATAAAGCGTAAACTTATTATTTTGCCCCCAAAAGTGTAACATTTTTATTCGCATACTTTGAAAGTCGAGAGGGATGAGCTGTGGACCTCAATGCCACGAACTGAGACGGGGGAAAAAAAGGTCCCTGTGTTATTGCTAACGCACCGCAACTGCCCACAGACTTCAACAGCCTTCAATAATGATTGTCAGATGTGTGGAAACCTTTAAGCCAGAACCTAATAACTTCCCAGAACAAAATTTATGATCTATCAGATGTTAAACTACGCCTGAGAACCTCGGGTGTTTTTTTTCTTAGTTAAAAATGTGCCGATACCAAATCGGCTCCTACTTTTACTGTGGTCATTAAGTCATTCAGTAATCACAATCGTTACCACAATAATTTATTTGTTTGTGTTTGGAGGGTAATCGGCCTTCCGCAAAAAACAAATAAATAAAATTATTATTTTAAAAAGTTCGTGGGACACCTCTGCACGCAATTCGCTGCCTCCTTTCGTCCAGAAATACAGTCACTACACTTTACAGTATATATTCTGTGAAGCGCTTTGAGACGTCTCACCGACGTGATAAGGCGCCTTGTCAAATGCAAGGATTATTATTTATGATTATTACCAAACGCTGCCTCAGCGAGAGTCACTTGCAAGTTATTATTCCCGGTTAGTTGGGGCCAATGGGAATTTTGTTGGGAAAAAATAATTGTACCTTGCAAGAGTTAAACACAGTGTTTTTATTGTTTAATAAGCAAACACACACACGGGCACAAAAATGCGGGTGAAACTTTTTTAAAATAATTAATAGCAATAATAATCCTTGCATTTGGATTTACTGTGAAGTGTAGTGACTGTGTATGTGTAGGGAAACGGAACAGCACAGTTGCGCACAGCGATGTCCACACAAACAGCCATGGAGTGAGTGACCAATTTTATTAAAGGGGGGGTGGGGGTGGGGGGTGTTAGCCAGGACACTGAAGGAGGGAGAGAGAGGGAGAGAAAGAAAGTCCTCTTTTCGAATAGTGCCGTGGGAGATCTTTATCATCCACCTGAACAGGCAGAAAGGACCAGGGTTTAAGGTCTCTTCCGAAACCTGTTTGGAGCAAACGGTGTGGAGACTATGTCAGGAAGGAGGTGTGCATGTCCTGAACTAGT